CCCCCCCACCCCATAATGCATTGCTGGGACTTGTAGTCCTACATAGTTGGTGCTATTCTGCATTGCTGTATAATCATCATACAGCAATGCAGATTACCACCAGCTGTGCTGGACTACAAGTCCCAGCAAAACACACACACACACACTCTCTCTCTCTTCCCAGCGCCCCCTCCCACTTCAAACTTACCTTCCCTCTCCTGCAGGCCCATGGCCCTCTTCCTCGTCTTGGCGAACAGGGGGCGGAGCTAAGATAGATGGCCCTCTTAGCTCCGCCCCTAAGAGGCGGGGCCAGCTCATTCTCCGGGATCAGTGACAGCGTCTCCAGCCCTTTCGCACAGCCGCCCGTACCCGTACATGCTGCGGGTGGCTGTGCGACAAAGAAGTGGCGGAACGCCAGGGCCCGGTCGCAATTGCGACCGCTGCGACCCTGGTAGTTCCGCCAGTGTCTAATTGTACAATGGGGACATCTTATCTTACAATGGGGACATCTTATCATACGATGGGGAAATCTTATCATACAATGGGGACATCTGATCATACAGTGGGGACATAGATATATATGGACATTGCAGGGCTGTAGCTACCAAATGGCGAGCGAAGCACTCGCCTCAGGCGCATCTGAGAGAGGGTGCAGCCAGGGCCAGCCTGGCTGTGCCTCCTCGCACCTGTTGCAGTGGACGAGCACAGGGCCCCATTGGCAACAGGGGTGCCAGGCGGCCAACACAGCCGCGGCTCGGCAGGGAAAAGAGGAGCGTCACAGGCTCCAGCTTCTCCTCAGATCCCTGCTGCTCTCCACCACCTGTATGGGCAGAGGACTCTGTCTCCTCAATCTCCTTTTCTATTTCAATTTCTATTTCAAAAGGGAAATGTCAGAGGTCTACTTAGACCCCTGATTTTTCCCTGAAGCCCCCCAAAAGTGAAAAAAAATAAATAAAAAAACAACCACACACACATTACTAGACATGTGCAAAGACTAAAAACTTGTTTCGGGTGAAATGAACGGAAACTAAACATTTTTTCTTTAGTTTTGTCAAATGAAACACGTTTATGCTATTTTGGATTTGGACTCTGGTGCATTCTGCGCGGGCGCATGACGTCATATACCGCACACGTCTGTTCTTGCTTCGGGCGCAAAAAGAGCTAGCTACAGCTATGGTGCGGGGATCTTGTCACAGACAAGATGCCTTATTGCCCATATCAACCAATCACATTCCTTATTTTCCTTTTAACTCTGCACAACACAAATGACAGTTTCAATCTGAGTGGTTGCTACTGGCAGTAAGAAATATTCGTATCAGCACATCTTTAATACATAAGCTCCCTATTGCTTACCAGAGCTAGGAAGAGCTAAGTAGTATTGTATTCTCCGCACAGCTTTCACATTGCTAGTTTGCTACTAGTAAGAAGTACAAGCCAGTGACGTCACCAAGGTCCGACCAGAAGCTCAGACGGGGAAGGGGGACGAATGAATGGGGGTGGGCGGAGCTGCTCGTTCAGGAGGGCGTGTCATTCCCTCTATGTGGGCGTGTCGTTCGGTCGCGCTCCGGAGATGTCCGGGGAGTCCCGAGCACGAGGTGTCACGGCCGGCAATAACATGGCACCGAACCGGCAGCCCGATGAGGACAGGGAGAGTGACAGTGAGGGCGGTGCTCCGCACAGCACGGTGAGGGGGCGCGGGGGTAGAGGAAATCGGGGCGGTGGGCTGTAGCGGAGAGGAAGTGCAACAGCAGAGGGGAGTCCACAGCCCGTTACTGTGACCCGTATGTCCTGATCACCGTGTGTCAGCGCTGATCAGCTGTCACTGAGCCCGGTACATATCCCTGGACGGGTCAGCCGAGGCCCAGCACAAAGTTTTCCTGTGCTCCATGTGTGCTTTATTTATAGTGTGCTCAGCTGTGTGTCCTCTTTACCCGGGGTCCACTGACATCTCCGGGGATCGGGTCACATGACACATAGAAAGATCCAACTTTGTTTTATAATGGTATAGAATGGAGAGGGGTCAGGATCTCTGCGTCCCCATTGTGGGTGTACTCATTTACACTGCGACTGACAAATACCTCTTTAGAGGACATTATTAAACACAGGTCATGATTTGTGATGCCATCAGTCAGACTGTGGGGGGATTGATCAGAACTGGAGCAGACCAGAATCTGGAGCAGTTGCTCATGGCAACCAGTCAGCTTCTCTTTTCAGTTTGTTCAGTTAAAGGAGAACTATGAGGCGAGTGAAAATCACTCAGCCTCATAGTTTGAGCCGACCTGTGACAATTAAACTGTCACAGGTCGGCTCAATAGATCGGGAAGTGAGCGAACACATACCGGCGATCGTTTCCCTGCAGAGAGACGGGACTGTCACTCACGGCTCCCTGCAGGGATTCCCCCCCTCCCCTGTCTGACCCTTCAGCGCTGACTGGAGGAACGGACGGGGGAGGCGGTGGGCACAGCTGGCTCTGCTTCTAGATAGGCAGAGCCAGCTGTCACTCACGCAGCTGGGTGGATCTCGACAGTAATGTCGAGATCCGTCCCGGCTGCGGCGTCTCAGTATACCGCCAGCTGTAGCTCGCGGTATACTGAGCTTAGGGTGACGGGAGGATGCTAGTTTGTGTCCTTCCGTTACCCTAAGGAGAACTATGGGGGAAAGCCCTGACCCCATAGTTCTCCTTTTAAGCTTTTCGAGGATTTATTAAAGTTAACCCTTGCAGTTGGGCTACCCCACTACTGTAAGGGTTAACTGCCTGTTTGGTCTAGCGGTGTAAATAAAGAAGATCCTTGGCCTGTGAGTGCTCACCTCCCCCCACCCTCCCCCGCTCTGGCTGTGGTATGTCCCTCGTCATCCTCACATCTAGAAGACGTGCATTAGACGTGATGATGTCACAGGCAATAGACAGCCAAAACCTGGGAACGAAGATTCTGCGGGCATGTCTAGCAGCCAGGCAAGACCGAGAATCAGGGTGAGTATTTCTTCTTTATTTTCGTCCCTAGACCAATACCAGAAGTTAAGCCTTTTAATGCGGGGGGTAGCCCCACTGCAAGGGTTAACTCTAATAAATCCTGGAGTTCTCCTTTTAAACAAAAGAAGCTGATTGGTTACTATGGACAACTGCTCCAGTTTTGATGAATTCCCCTTCGTGCGTTTAGTTTAGCTGCATCTAGAGAAAAAAGAACTGTGCATCTGGGATCGAATTGTAAAATCTAAACCAGTGTTGGGGCAGGTATATGTAAACACAGGGGGACCTAATCTGGGAATAAGAAAGTCTGTTTATACTACCAGATCATTGCTCTTTCGTTTAAAAGACAGGTACACTGGGTGTTGTTGACAGTCTGTGCTATAAAGCTCTATAGAGCTCATCCACCTCCGTCTACTGGCCAGGAAACAAGCCCTCTAGACTTCTATAGAGCTCATCTACCTCGGTCTCTGGCCAGGAGACAAGCCCCATAGACTTCTATAGAGCTCATCTACCTCGGTCTCTGGCCAGGAGACAAGCCCCATAGACTTCTATAGAGCTCATCTACCTCGGTCTCTGGCCAGGAGACAAACCCCATAGACTTCTATAGAGCTCATCTACCTCGGTCTCTGGCCAGGAGACAAGCCCCATAGACTTCTATAGAGCTCATCTACCTCGGTCTCTGGCCAGGAGACAAGCCCCATAGACTTCTATAGAGCTCATCTACCTCGGTCTCTGGCCAGGAGACAAGCCCCATAGACTTCTATAGAGCTCATCTACCTCGGTCTCTGGCCAGGAGACAAGCCCCATAGACTTCTATAGAGCTCATCTACCTCGGTCTCTGGCCAGGAGACAAGCCCCATAGACTTCTATAGAGCTCATCTACCTCGGTCTCTGGCCAGGAGACAAGCCCCATAGACCTCTATAGAGCTATACAGCTTATCCACCTTCGTTTCCCGACCTGCAGGAAAGTCCCATAGACCTCTGTGGCGCTCATCCACCTCCGTCTCCTGACCAGGAGAGAAGCTGTCTAGACTTCCACGGGGCTCTAATATCTAGATGTGGCTTGCAGAGAGAGGACTAGTGGTGCAGGATGTAAACAAACACTGGATGCCAAGGGTGTGGGATCTCAACAAGTATGTATCTGGGAAGGGGGGGCTCTTTGTCTGAAAGTGCACCTATCCTGTAAATAACCTAAATTCAGGAGTGCTAGTGTGAATGCCTGATCACCAATGTCACATGAAATGAAAGTCGGGCAAAGTTCAAAATTTAGAGTTGCCACCAAAACAGAGGAGTCGAGGGGAACATCTTCAAATGACAGCTGTCAAAGAGGGGGATTTCCCTTGCAGTGGAAATATATTCTCTTGCTTCCTGTTGAGTCTTCAGCACAGGAAGTGAAGGAAAATCTCCCCAATGAGACGCAGATTGCAAAAAAGCTGAGAGTGGTTTTCAGCTTTCCCTCCACTATTCAAAATGAAAAAAAAAGTGTTGGCTTTAGACTTGCTTTTCACACTGTTACAATGTGCAGTACCGCAACAGGAAACATTGCAGTGCAACTTGGGTCGCGACTTAATGACCGAGGACAAATGTGGGTCCCGAGGTTACACAGTTTGAGAACCACTGGTCTAGATCATGGTTTCTTTCTGACATTTTGTAAAAATAAAGGACAAACCTGGTGCTGTGGGGAATATACTGTATATAATATTTATTTATATATATAGACCTGGATTTATACTGGTACCTGTGATCTGAGGAGACCTTATCGCCTTTTCTATGCATGGGCTTCCCTCCCCCATTAAGAAGGGAAAAAGCGCATTTGGCCTAGCTCTGTGGGTCTACCTCCCCAGGTGAGGACTCACTTGATGTCATCAATCACTTGGTGGAGGTGAAGGTCTGCCTGCATTGTGTGATTGTAATACCTGAGAGTGACATGCAGATTGGCTGCGAATCATCGAGGATTTTTTTTTTTTTGCACAATCACCATTGTTTGCTTTTTATTTTTTCCTGGGACTTTTTTTTTGTCTATATTGCTTTTTTGTCTTTTGTGTAGATATTTTGTATGCCTCATTTGTTTTGAAGGCTCATATATGTTTCAATTTATTAGATGTGTATGATTATTAGCTCGGCACAATATTGTTTTTCACATTTTCCAGATATTTAGTTATATCCTTAGTGCTTGGTAGCTCTTATTTCCACATTACACTTACTGGCGCTGATCACCTTTTATTGTTTATTTTTAGTCCATTCACATATAGCGTTTGCGGTTCCCGCTTGGTTTTCCGTCTGGAAGACCGCACGACAACACAAACGCTAATATCTTTGACCTCGGATATTACATAGCCGCGAACGTGCGGAATCCGTCAAAAAATCATGCTTATACTATTTTGCAGGCCGTGCAGCTTTGTACCGTGCGGCCACCACAAATGTCTGAACAATGCACATTAAAGTGCATTGTTTTTTCTGTTTTGAACGGTTCAGCGCATATTCGGCCAGCCAATACGTGCGGACAACCGTTCCTGAGTGAAGGGAGCCTTAGCAATGTCTTCTAACTTTCTGGAAAGGATTAGACAGATAACAAATATCAACACTGTTTGTTTTTGTTTTGTTTTTGTTTTGTTTTTATTCTGACCAAACACCAAATGTTTAGGTTCTTGTTTAAAAAAACAAAACAAGTGTGCCACTCATAGGAACTTAGTGACACTACTGTAAACTCAGGAGTTAAAGCTTAAAATGTATTCAAGTACCTTAATTAATAACAAAAATGTATCTTATTTGTGTATCACTCAGCTGTAAATCCTCAAATCATCTCTGAATTGGTGCTGACACTGTCCTTCCTTCTGGAGGGTGGCTACTTTTGTTCCCCATGATCCTGTGTGTTTTTGTTAAAACTTTAGGTACTTGAATGCATTGATAAGATTACATTCCTGAGTTTAGTGTCACTTTAAAGGGTAATTACACTTTCCCAGGTGAAATGGCCCCCTCTCCCCCTTGCTGCTATACTTTTGCTTTGGCTGAATGCCCCTTCCCCTCCGCTGGTGCAGGTGTACTATCTGTATTCTATACGCTCTGTATTCCCCGCTGAACAATCTGATTGGATGCAGGCATTTTTACCTGAACAATCTGATTGGATGCAGGCATTGTCCAGGTATTTAGAGAGCCAGCGGGGCCGACTAGCAAGATACTGAAACTTGGGCCAGCGGGAGATTCCTCCATCCACACAGTTTAGCGTAGATGAAGGAATCTGTTGCACTTTTTCCATCTGACCATAGAAAATCTGCAGATAATCTATAGGTGTATGGCCAGCTTTAGACATGATGATGTCACAGGTCCTTAGACCGCCAGAGGCCGAGGATACAAAAAGGGCCACACTTCTGCTTTTAATTGGACCCAATAGACCAAAAAAATACATTTTAGCAGGTCCATTTTATGTATTAACGTGAGAACTCTACCGGTATAAGTTGGTCTTTATAATGAAAACTGGTTCTTGAAGTAGAACATTTGTAACCCTTTTTTGTTTTGTTTTCAAAAATGTTTTTTAAAGTGGGATAGACTAAAGCTGCCCATACACCTTACGATTATCAGTCTAAACTTTTCGTCAAATGATCGAACCATCGTGCGATTTGCTTACGGCGGCCCCATTCTGCCCCGATTATCGCAAGGTTGAATCAGCAGTAATTAAAAGAAAGCACCTGGACGAATTGCGGTAATGGACCGCACGT